TCCTCTCCTCTCCTCTCCTCTCCTCTCCTCTCCTCTCCTCTCCTCTCCTCTGCAGAAAGGAGGAGAACAGGAGAGTGATTAAAGTTATGACTTTAGGGTTATTGGCAGTAAAACTCTGGATAAATGCAGGTCACGTTTCTCAGCTGCTATCGAGGAGCAGTTCTTCACAGGTGCTCCTACTTACATGTTGATTCTACTCTGAGAAACAAGTTTCTCTCACAACCGAATCAAAGCCTGTTGGTGTGTCTATTAATGATAGAAGAATCCTTCTGCTGGCTATGAGACAAATCAGAGTGAGGTGAGGGCAGATCAGGGGAGTTTTAATGCACTAAGACTCATTGTATTATCTTGCAAAGGGCTGTACCTCAGCTCCAGGAGTGCTGATTCAGAAATGTTTCTGCTCTCCATCACCAGCCAACCGTCTGGTCCATATGCTTGCTTAATGAGCCTCATAGACCCTCATCATCAGCTGTGTCCCTACAGAGGACCATCAGCTGACTCCCCCACAGGTTCCACATGAAAGAGCCTTAATATTAGCTCGTTTTGTTTACATAACAGCTTCTCTAGGTTAATGCTGTTACTTTTTATATTTTCACGAGTAATCTGATCTGTTTTCTCTTTTTTTCAGGTTATAATAATTTGACTAAAGCTGCATTTGTTAAGGGCTCATCTACAGCCTGTGTATAAAATTCATAATATTATTCTTCATATTATTTTTAATTTTCAAATGTAGGGGACCTTAACTTATTTCTTTTGTTGCATAAGTAGTTTTCTTGGATTGTGAATAATTGAAAAACTAAACAAGTCTGGATGATCCCAAAGCAGTTCTGGAATGAAAATGCTTTGGAATGAAAGGAACAGCAGTCCAGTTAATGATTAAATTATGTTTTATTGCATTATTGGAGACCTTTGATTCAGTGTCACTGGACTCTTCAGGTTAAGCTATAACTCATTGTCACCACGACATATCCTGACTTCAATATGGTTTTTAACCAAAACGGACCCTGTGTCCCGATGAGGGGATTTCCCAGGAGGAAACAGAAGGCTGTTTTCACACCTGTAGTTTATTTACTTTGGTGTGAATTGCAGGATGAGGTTGTTAACTTTTAACTTGTTCTGGTTATTTGGTTTCTACTTATACAAAACCATACTTCAATTGAACATGAACAGTGACCTAAAGAAAGCTAGTTTGCAACACATTGGAACGTTAAATTTTTTTTTGAAAACCCTAACCAATGAAAATGATGCAATGATTTTTGCAGTTTGGCATGGATCTGATGTTTGAGAACCAAAGTTTATCTTGAAAGGTGAGGTTAAATTAACTTTTAAACCAATTTTGAGAAATCAGCCTGTGTCAAAAGTGATTCCCAAAATAAATCAAAGAGATGGATAAAAGCTTTATTGGTACATCATTATTATAAAATAATCCATCCATCCTTCCATTTTTGTGAGGGGTGCTGGTGCCTCTCTCCAGCTGTCTACGGGCGAGAGGTGGGGTACAAACCTGGACAGGTCGCCAGTCCATTGCAGGGCTATTATAAAATAATACATAATTTAATTACTTGCGGGCTGTTCAGCTTGTAGCAAGAAGGTCCTGGGTTTATTTCCTGGTCTAGGGTCTTTTATTGTATATTTTGCATCATCTCCTTGTGCATGTGTGGCATTTCTGTGGGGGCTCCGGCTTCCAACGTTTCCGGGATGAACTTTGCCTTTCGTTAGACTTCCTGACAAACAGACCTCAGTCAATTCAGGTGGAACAGAACACCTCTGACGTCTTCACCCTAAGCACAGGCTCCCTTCAGGGCTGCGCCAAGCGCCCCCCTTTTGTTCACTCTGATGGCATAGAACTGCATCCTCAGGTTCACCACCAATCACACTGTCAAGTCTGTAGAAGACACCACCATCAGAGACAATGACCAGGACTAAAGAGAGGAGGTGGAACAGCTGGTGAACTGGTGCAAAGATAACAGTCTGATCCTGAACGTGGAGAAGACAAAGGAGATCATAGTCAACTTCAGGAAGGACTTGCCTAACCACACTCCACTGCTCATTGACAGCAGTGGGGGTGCACATCAAAGGAAACCTCATTTGGCACAAAAGGGCTTGTACTTCCTACAGAGGATAAGGAGAGCCCACCTCCCTCCACCCATCCTCACGACCTTCTACAGAAAAAGCACCATAGAGAGCATTCTGACCAGCGGTCTCACTGTGTGGTGTGGAGGCTGCAGATCCTCAGATTGGAGGAAAGTGAGAAGAGTGGTGAGAACAGCAGAGAGGGTAATCGGGGCTCCTCTTCCCTCCGTAAAAAAAAAAAATCATCCCAGCGCTGTATGTCCTAACCATTATCAGTGACCCCTCACACTCCCACCATGGACTTTTGTGCCTGCTGCCCTCTGGGAAGAGGCTCATACTGTAGCATTTGATGCAGGTCCAGCAGATTCTGCAACAGTTTCTTCTCCACCGCCATCAGCAAGCTGAACTGTTGGCAATAACTCCAAATCATGTCACAGACTCTGCATCACACTGATAACACCAAACCAAAAATACTGCATATTGCTCTGAACTTCTATATCGAGGCGTTTTTTTTGCACTATGTTTTTCTTTCCCTCCCACACTGTTTACAGGTGATCACTGCTGCACTTTATGGAATGGAAACGTTCATGTATCTGAAAAGCTGTACTTAACAAAATTTCGTTTTGTATACACTCTGTGTATACAAAATGACAATAAAAATTGTCTAAGTCTAAAGAAGCTCTCCACAGTAAGGATGCGTTTACATTTAAGACAACACTGCCAGATAGGACAAATACGACCACTGACCACATCTGTTCTCTCTTGAAATTGTACCTCATATACTTCCATTTCAACCAAGGTTTCTACAGGAAGAAGTCTGGATGCGGGACAGGCTCTCCTGTGTCTCCCATAGTGGCGAGTTTATAGATGGAAGAAGTGGAAAACAGAGCTCTACATTAATACAAAATGGTAAAAAACAAAACAAAAAAACCCCCACAGTAAATGGTTCAGACATGTGGATGACACATAGGTCAAAATAAAGACCAAGGATATCAACACATTTCCAGACCACATCAATGCAGTGTACAGAAACATCTGGACTGTGTGGTTCACATCATGGAAGACAGACAACTCAACATAGAACTCTTGCTTCTATGTTGACCCAAAAAAACAGACCGACCAATATCTCTGTTTTGACTCACACCACCCACTGGAACACAAACTAAGCATAATCAGAACCCTCAAGACACAAGCAAATCCATTCCTACCAACAATAGAGGGAAGATGAGAGACCAGAAACATATTAGAACTTCCCTGAAGAACTGTGGTTATCCTAGAAGGAATTTTCTAGAAAACAACTATTCCCTATGTTGCTGAAGTCTTTGAAAAACCCAGAAGAATTTTCAACAGCACCCTGTGCACTTCAAACCATGCAACACCCTGTGAGAAAACCAGTTCACCCCAAAGACAAGACACCCAGAAACGACCGAAAACGTGGTTTATGCCATTCAGTGAAGGGAAGAGTGCACTTTGGAGAGACTAAGCAACCACTGCACAGGCGCATGGTTCAATACAGGAGGGCCAACTCCTCAGGACAGGACTCACCTG